AAATAGAAGGGGGTGTACAGAGGCTTTGGATAATTAACTTTTGGAAGAAAATAAGTTAAATGAATCATACGTTTAGTGAGTACATTATCAATATAACGTTCTATTAATGTTAATTATTGATGAATGATGATTAATGTTCTAAAATAGTTTGGGGCCCCTGTCAGTCACGGGCCCTGAGAATCGTCCTAACTTTTCACCCCCTTACGGCGACTCTGCATTTTTTGCTTAATATTTGGACTACAAAAACAATGCTGATATCATTAGAAACCGAGGAATCTCCACTTTCCAACAGTGTATACAACTCAAAATGTGTCTTTGGGTCAATGCAACTGATTTCGATAGAGCAAGTCACATACTGTATGAGGTGGTCCCTGAAAATCCTTGATAATAAAACTTGGATTTTATTTAGCTTTTTTCCATGGACCACCTGCGCGGACCACAGTTTGAGAACCGCTGCTGTAAAGCACTTTGAATTGCATCACTGTATGAATTGTGTTATACAAATAAATTGCCTTGCCTTGCCTACATGGTTGAACATGAACCCTCCAATCAGTGCATTATCTCCAACTGAACCCATCTTCCTGCTGCTATGAAATTCCTTTTGTACCACTGACCTTAATGTTGCACAGGATAATAGCATGCAATTCCCATGGGAAGAACATAGTAGAAGCCTTGTGTTGCTTCTGTGTGTGTTTGTGGAGGCGTATGATGTATATCACATCCTTATTGGAATTGGTGGTTTTCATGCGGTCACAGTAAACCCATGAGTCCGGGTCACATGTGTTTACTGAGCCAACATGCTTTCCTCATATTGATTCTCACATAACTGGTTGTTGCTTCCCCCAAAAATACATTTGAGAAATTGTTTTGCGTTCACCCGGTACATTTCAATTTGACAGTATTGATTTTTTTGTGACATAGAATGCAATGCAGAGCTATTTAAAAATAATCACACACACCCACCCACAGGAGCTGCTCTAATACCACAGAGACAGGTTAGTGTGTGTAGCTCTGGTGGAGCAGCTGGGAGGCAGGTACCATGCACACAAGGGCACCTTGAAACATTTTTACTGATTATCTTTACATTCAAAATAAACCTGGTTTTACATAGTTAAGGTGCCCATTCCAATTTTAAATCAGGATAATTGCACTGTCAACAACTCATGACATCTGTTTGTGCTTGTCTAAACGTTTTTAGATTCCATCATTGTTAAAAACAACAAATACATTTTTTACAGATTCATTATTAATGTTGTCATAAACAACAGTCCCTTAACCCTTAGATGCATAAGTGGGTCTTTTTTGACCCGGTGAGATGGTTTTCTTGAAGAATCTTTGTAATTACATTTTTTTATCATTTCATATTCCAGCTAATCCTCAAAAAACATGTTTTGGATATCATGCCATTCAAATTTTAAATTTACATTTGATACATTTTAAGAAATTGTAGTTTTTGTATTTCTACCCCAAGCTTCCATAAGTGGGTCTTTTTTGACCTGGTGAGCTGGTTTTCTTGAAGTATCTTTGTAATTACATTTTTTTATCATGTCATATTCCAGCTAATCCTCAAAAAACATGTTTTGTATATCATTCCATTCACATTTTAAATTTACATTTGAAGAAATTGTAGTTTTTGTATTAATACCCCAAGCTTCCATAAGTGGGTAAAAAATGACCTGCATGCATTTTCTATGGAATCCTATGGGAACCTTTGATTCTTATCACCTGTTGCTGTCAGGAATACATTCACTGTAGACCACACAGACTACATCACAAGTGACACCTCTCAGGAAGATTATTTACACAGCAAGATCTGATACCTGTCGATAATAATAATAATAGTAGAACACACAGACCACATCACAAGTGACACCTATAATAATAATAATAATAATAATAATAATACATTATATTTGTATAGGGCTTTTCAAGGACTCAAAATTGCTTTACAATATAAGGGATTATATTATATAATATTAGGGTGGGGGGTATAGGACTATCACACTTGATCAACCGGCATGGATTGATGGGGGGTGGGATATGAGTAGACAAGAGGAGAAGAGATGAGTTTTGAAAAGGGACTGGTGAGGGTCTCAGAATGGTGGAGATCTTTGGACAATATGTTCCAAACGTTTTTTTTCAAAATGTACAACATTTTTCTAAAATTATAAATTGTGAAAAATTAAATATTAAATATTTCTAATGTGAACCAAAATATAATACTAAATATGATACAATTGATTTTTCTTAACCAAAATGACAAAAATTGCATAAAAACACATATCTAATACGGGTCCTTTTAGACCCACTTATGGAAGAGTGTAGGGTCCAGTCACTCGTGCATCTAAGGGTTAAAGAGTGAGCCAGTACTGGTTCAGTGGTATCATGTGATGTTTTGCCCAGATAGAGAATGAAGGATGCAGCCCCCCCCCACCCCCTTTGGCATCCCCTCTTCCCTCCATCCACAACTTCAGATGCAGGAACAACTGTCACTAGCACGCCCTCTTTGTGCAGCCGGCACAGACATGTCTGTCATTCGATATTTGGCTCATGCTAAGCAGAGGAACAGCTGCGCGGCGCAGGAAACAGCGAACAGGGAAAACAGTAGCCGTGTGAGTTGTTTCTGACAGCTCCTCCTGTTGTGCGAGTAAGTGTCCCTTTAGGATTTGGGCTTTTTCCCTGCGGTCCAAAACTATTTGACCAGTCCAAATGCTCAAATCAACTCATAGGAAAAGTTTAAACAGGGTGAACATTTAACGTTTAAAGGTCCCATATTATACTGTTTTGCATCAATATATTATAGGTCTCAGATATATACAAAACATGTCTCTGAAGTGTTTGGCTCGAAACACCAAACAGATCATTGCACCATCCCCTCTGTTTCAGCTCTGTTTCCAAAGTGCTGGTTTTTATATAAATGGATCAGGACAAAAAGAGAGAGAATCTTTTTTTCTGAAACTTTCAGAATCTCTTTACACAGACGGGACACATGTTTATGTATAAAAGACATGAAAAAGTGGATTTTGCATAATAGGTGACCTTTAAAAGACACTTCTTTCATCATCTGTATGCTAAAGAGTTTTGTTGACTGTTGGAAATAATGATGTTTGTTTTGAGTTCAAATTCAAATGTGACGGCGTGTAAATGTGCCCCAAATCTCCCATTATTTAAGAAATTATCTGAGGATTTCGCAAAGCAATGTCAGTTTTCAAATTTGCTAAATCCTCGAGTGGCAACCTAATTATGACAAAATGTCCAAACACTCACATTTCCCACTTCATCTTCCAAAAGTCCTTTAGCAGCTCTGAGCTACTGTTATCCCTGCCAGGGAAACAGACCGTTGCCCAGGCAACCTCAGTTCTGCCGCCATGGCAGCTGTAACTGTGGCGAAGGGGACGCGGAGTGCCAGGGTGGACAGGTGTTACCGGGGTCTCCGGGATCACCAAGGGTCTCCTAGGCCATCCTCCTACGTCGTTACACATGTGGAGCAGCGCTAACAAGCCCCTCACACACTAACACACTCCTCCTCTGCACTGCCATCAGAACTAGACTCGAGACCGCTGAGTTACACTAATATTCTGTGTCATGCTCTTGTCGAATTAGACGTGCACATGGTTCTTGCCAGCTCGGAGCAGGAGGTCCGTGCCACATGGCTGCATGTTTCTTTTTTTGCTTTTTTTGTCGGATACACATCCTGTAGGTATGAGAAATGACTCATGTTCAGTGAGACATGGTAACCTGCTCCAAGGCAGAGTAATGGGACACTGCACAAAAAGTCAAACAAGCTCTCATTACCTTTCATCCAGGCAGAACATGGAGGCCAGCGCCCAGAACTGGTCCTAGAAAATTCTAAAGGGAAATAAAACGTGTGCTAGTAGAAAGCAATAGTTGAGAGTGTGTCGATTTAATAGCAACAGCGTGTGCAGACCATGAAGGAAAGATAGTTCTGTTACTGAGTCAGTGTGGCGAGGCTCGAAAATGTCTATTTTCAGGGCTTGCTTTAAGTAGGGTGAGTCACCAGGCTTTTGGAGCACTGACTGCATGTGTGTGTGTGTGTGCGCGCATGCTTGTATGCACATGTATTTTTATGTGATACCGCTCCCTCTCCCTCTATCTCCGTCACACACACGCAAACAGACACACACATGTGCCTGCCCGCCGGGTGCAGGTCTGTGACGGGTTAGGCATTTTGGGTGAGGGCCATCCTTCTCTCTGTCTTTCCCTCGGCTCTTAGCAGTGAGCTGGCCCTCGCGCAGGGACAGGCAGCAGCTTCAATCTGTTCGGTAAATACTGAGATAAGTAAGGCCCACCCATTGCCGTGGCAGAAAATAACTCACGCCAGACCTGCAAGGGCAAAGATAGCCCGCTCTGTACAAAGTGTGGAGAAGGCATACCTTCTGAAGAGAAAATTGTGTACATAAATTAGCTATTTTGAGATATTTGGGGGTGGGAAGGAAGGCAGAGTGACAAACAGACAATGAGAGAAAGGGAAATGGGAAGAAAAGCAAATGAGAGATGCAAACCTCTTCCTGCTGCCAGTGAAATGTCAATGGAACCCTGGGGATGCATTGATTAACCTCTCTACTCCTAATCTGCCTGCAGCCTCTGCTCCAATCACTGAAGGCAAACACACAGACTGGTGCTCTACAGATGGACAATAGGGCCAGATCGGCATAAACAGGCCAAGGACTGGTTTAAAAGAGGCAAGGCTACCAGAGTTAATTTTGAACTGAAAATTCAAAAGCACTTTGGGATGACTCATGTTTTAATTGAAAGAGTTAACAAAGTCTGACCAATGACAGTTCCTCATTTTAGTCTCCCTTTTTTAGATGTATTTTTCCTTTTAACATCAGAGACAGCTTATTCTCTTAGATTTAGGATAAGAGAATGAAACAAAAGCACGATGAAAACGATTGAAGAGTTGTTTTGTCTGAAAACGATAACAAAAGTAAAAAAATACTTACAAGAGACGAAGGGGATGACTTCAAAAAGCTTTTATGTTTGATCGAAAGTCCCAAACTTAATTTTTTTTGCACTGACTGTAATTCAATACCATAAAAAGCAGAACATCTTCAACTCGGAAAACACCGGAATCGACCATTTTACAGATTATTAGACAAATCAATATAGCCTTATAGGTAGGGAATTCACTTCAGAAGGGCAGATTTTTTTCGGTTGTGTACTTTAAAATTCTAGCGCACTCGAGCTGGTTTCTCCATTCTTACCTACCCTACCTTTAATCCAATGTGCTTTTGTCTCTCCCACAAGAGGCAATCTTTAGAGCATAATTAACTCCTCAAATGATCTTTTCAGATTGGTTTATGTGTCTGTTTGTTTGTCAGCAGCTTTCTGAAAAATAAAAAGAATGGCCTGAATTTCATGAAACTTGGCTTCATGAAGCACCACCTCTTACATTTTGGAGCGTATCCAAAACATGGGTCAACTGCACTGATTATTCTTCACTTTCAACAATAGAGCATTGACTTGACAGAGGTTAGCACCCTGAAAGTCCCCTTTTAGTTATAAGTATAATCATTAAAAGCCATCATAGAATAGATATTATGCATTTAAATCAGCTGTATGAAGCTCTGTATGAATACTTAGATTCTTATAACATTTGTTGTGTACTAACGTAGCAATTGTTGATAAGGTGGTATTCATACAATTGATAGGTAAATTTCATAGTCCTCTCCAGAGACTAACTTCCCCCTGTATTTTCTTTTCTCCGGCAGTTTGCTCCCAGTTCTCCAAAGGTGTGTACGCCATCATCGGCCTGTATGACAGGAAGACGGTCAACATGCTCATGTCCTTCTGCGGAGCGCTGCACGTCTGCTTCGTCACGCCGTCCTTCCCCATCGAGACGGCCAACCAGTTTGTCATCCAGCTGAGGCCCGAGCTCCAGGACGCTCTGGTGGGAGTGATCGACCACTACGGGTGGAACAAGTTTGTCTACATGTACAGTTCAGACTCAGGTAGGAAATCATTTTATTTCACCTCACATCATACTGTAATTTTAAACGAGACATTTGAATGGAAACCTTTATGTTTTTGTTTCTTTTGTTATTTTTTTTCAATATATATTTTTGGGATTTTCAGGTGAAACGATACAAAAAACATTGGGGACAACACAACAACACATAATAAAACCCACAAAACAATAACAACCATCAATGACAAAAACAGGCAAACAGCAACAGTAGCAACCTAGTACTCATGTGTTAGCAATTATAACACTTGACCATTCTTCCTTCATGTACGGTGCAATTGGGGACCAGTTTCTAATAAACTCATCCAGCGTTCCTCGCAGCATGTGTGACAGCCGCTCCAATGGCAGAATTGACATCAGTTTTTGAAACCATAACAAAAGATTAGGCGGATCTTCATCCAACCATTTCTGGAGGATTGTGAGTCGTGCTGCATTCAGAGCAATACCAATAATATGTCTATGTCTACGTTCGTGATTTAAATCTGATCCGAGGACACAGTTACATAAGTTAAAAGGTAAGTCTATGTCAAACACTTTTCTGATCTCAGTTTGCATTGACTCCCAAAAATATATAATTTGAGGGCACGATAGGGCTGCTCGATTATGGCAAAAATCATGATCTCGATTATTTGGGTCAATAATTGATATCACGATTAAACGTCAAAACGATTTACTTTGAAAACATCCATTTATTGAAAAAAAAATGTTTAACAGTATTTTTTTAACAGTTGATTACCTTGAACTTTAAGTATATTTCAACTGAAAAACCAATACAAAAAATAAAAATAAATAATCGTTTTATTTCGATTATGTTGTTTTCATAATCGTTGCAAGCCAAAATCGTAATTGCGATTAAAATACGATTAATTGAGCAGCCCTTGGGCACGATCACATGAGATGACTGGAATTGCCAGAGCTACGTTTTTAACAAAGCCTTCAGTTTTATGGTATTCATTTTATTTTAGTGGTAATATTTTTGAATGTTTTATGTATTTGTATTGTCTTTTGTTGAATCTTATTTTATTTTGTTTCTATTTGTATTCCACACACTATCTTTTCTTCTCATTTTTCTGTAACTCCATCATATACAATGTTGTTGTTGTTGTTGTTGTTGTTGTTGTTGTTGTTGTTTGTTTTTAATCTGTAAATCCCACTGAGACAAATGATTGCTTTGTGATATTGGGTTATACAAATAAAGTTTGATTTGATTTTCATTTGGTTACCCAGAGACGAGGAGGCGACGACGGGAACGACGGCGGTGTGAGGAGGCGTGGCCAAAGCTGCGTTTGAGGAAACCACGGCAACAAGAAGAGGAGGAGGAAGAGGAGGAGGAGGAGTGTCTTTGATTTGAGAAGAGGAGGAAGAGGAAGTTACTGAGGGGTCTTCATCGCCATTTTCTGGGACGTTGAGGCCATCGCCGATGGAAATGGATCGAGACATTTTCGCCATGGAGCTGGTGGTCGGACTCATGTAAGAGCGAGACGTCAACGCAGAGGAGGAGGAAGAGGAGGAGGGGGCGGGGGATGAAGATTTCCTCGGGGTGGCGAAGGCAGAAGGAAAGGGAGAAGGAGAAGGAGTGAAGGAGGAGAAGGAGGTGGGGGCGTGTTCCTGATGAGGGGATTTGGGGGATTTAGGGGAGGTGGGGTTGGGTCTCTGGAGGGTGGAGGGTAAAGATGGAGGACGTCTGGGGGAGGAAGGGAGGGTGGTGGGACGCTGGAGGGGGAGGAGCTTCAGAGGGGGGAGGTCTCTGCAGGGGGAGAGGGGGGAGTCACCTGAAGAGAGAGAGGGAGAAGGAGTGTTATTCATATCCTTAAAGGTCACCTGTTATGCAAAATCCTCTTCTTCATGTCTCTTCTACATCAACATGTGTCCCCTCTTCTTCATGTCTCTTCTACATCAACATGTGTCCCCTCTTCTTCATGTCTCTTCTACATCAACATGTGTCCCCTCTTCTTCATGTCTCTTCTACATCAACATGTGTCCCCTCTTCTTCATGTCTCTTCTACATCAACATGTGTCCCCTCTNAGTTACGTCGCGAGCTGCGTACATGATTTCAAATACCGCGAATTAATCTGTCTTGTGAGGGTTTCCCCGGGAAACAAACACAATACACACAAATGCGTCACAGATTAATTCGCGGTATTTGAAATCATGTACGCAGCTCGCGACGTAACTAGGAGTCTAGTGGACGGTATCAGTACTACAAGTAAAACAAATTAAACTAATCTTTTTATTATTTTTTTTTATTAATTACGTTTTTCATAAATTAATCTGAGGGCCGCAAAAAGTGGAGGTGGGGGCCGCATGCGGCCCACAGGCCGCCATTTGCCCATCCCTGCTATATGCCTTACATTCATAATGTCAGCGGGAGGGAGGGGG